CCTGTCTCATCTGATTAGGGGACACTTGATGAGTGCTGTGAGAGGAACCTTTATAACAAACAGTTTATCATGCGCAATTATAGGATCGCCAATAATGAGAGCATCCAATAAAGACAATTTGCCTACTCTGGTCTCATCTATGGTTATCTATTCCTTTAGCTGTGTTTGTAACGCAACCTACATTGGCCGAACGGCGAGGCAAATGTCTCAGCGGATTAAAGAGTACTGTCCACACTGGCTTCAACACGGTGGAAAAGATGTCACAGGAAGAGTTATTCCCGCTCACCTAGCAGACTCGGATCGCCAACTGAAGCCCGAATGAGCCTTCAAAGTCATTTATCGAGTACCACCTCACCCATTTAAATCGTTGTTTCCACATTCTAACCACTACGGAAGCGACCAGTATTCCTTTGTTCATACCCAAACTATGTGTGGAAAGGAGATTGGCCCATGCCATTCAACTGACGTAGTCGAGGATCGATCGCACGGATGAAGCATGAAAACCTGATTGCAGTGTTGTGGTGACCTAGTGGTGTGAAACACGTCGCACCAATCAACCCTCTACCCCCCCCCTCAATAATTGTAACTTCTGAATGCTTGTAGAACATCCTTTTCCCTTTATTCGTTTCATCAACATAAGAAGACATGTGTGCAGCATTGATATTGGCCATCAGTTTCACGTGCTCTCATTCCACTGTAAACGCACATTTATATGATCATGTCAAACGAGGGAACATCGGAAGGACAGAACATCGTTCATCAACAATAATGTTAACATTTTAGAGTATAGCTTGCTACTCTAAAAATTGAGTGATCCATTCGCACAAGGTGATAACTGTCGACCGTGTAGCTCAGGGGCAAGGGTTTGAAGTCCCAAATCGAATGTTCGCGGTTCGAGTCCTGACAGGGACACAAAAAGTACGCGCTGCTGACGAGTCCAAAACAGCTGTCCAGTGCTCTTTGTCGGTTATCACGAACATTTCCATCACATGTAAATGTGTGAACATATTCCGAAACATTTTGGTCTCCGCGGCGTTCGCCCGGCATTTGTTAGACTCCGGCCATAATGTAGACGCACTCAAAACCATTACGAGACCTCGAAGTTCAAGGGCTTTGTGATTTTGAAAAGCGACAATTATTCATCTCTTGAAACCGCAATTACGTGTTCAAAAAAAAAACGTTTGTAACGTAACTGTTGTTGTCGTAGTAGTGATGATGTCATACTTGATTTCACCTTACTATACTGTGTGTGACATGAGCTTCCCTCTCGTCCCACTACCACATTCACCACATTGTTTGCACTAGTTCACCTCCATGTCATATTTTGTCACCATCATCATCAACCCCTAGACAAACACAAATTACGCCACTCACTTGCCCAACACCTTGTTTAAATGACTCATTTGAACTCCTATGCTTCCTCGTTTGACATGATCATATAAATGCGCGTTTACAGCTGAATGAGAACAATCGAAATTGAAGGGCAATATTAATTCTGCATGCATGTCTTCTTGTGTTGATGACTGAATATCTATCTCCGTTTAACATGCCATTTCCCTGTATGATCTGTACAGGCTAGAAGATGAATCAATTATTCACCTGAACGAGTGCTCCCATGTCAGAACAAACGGGCACTGGTGAGTTCAACTGCCGTGGCGTGAAACATTCAGATTCGTTGAACCAAGCAGCCTTGCTATCGATCCGACCAAACGCCAGTAGTGTACTGACAATAGCCATCATAACAGGTGTCAGTGACTGTCATAAACAACTGAGCGCGTACAACACAACACAGCATAAACAAAAAATTCCTGATTGTCATTGTTATTCGTTGTTTCGGATATCGGCTATGAGAACCGACATCACGAACGAGTGTTGATAAAATTTCATTAAAGTTTGTTACGAGTGAGCTCCTCAAAGTCGCTCGGTGGAGGATTTGACATCATCATTGTATAGCGTAATACAGCGAAGCGAACTTCACTGATCGCTGCCAAACTCATAATGCATACAAAGTAAGTGAGGACAGGGATTGAACCTATTTTTAGGGACGGGAAAAGAAAGCGAACCTCTACGGCCAACACACAGAGTGAACAAGTGAACTGCATACACACCATTTCAAGCATTCTGGTCTGATAAGAAGTGACATAATAGCCATTGCTGTCGGTTCGCAGCCATGACCTTCAGTGTCTCCAACCATGCGGTTTCGGAGTCTTTTGGACCCCGTCGGAGAAGACGAGAGGACTACCTACTCTACCTAATCGCTCTGTGCATTTTGTCATGCCTTGTCTCCATGTCATCTGCTGGCCTCCGCGTGGCCTTCTCCAGCCTGCAACAGCCACCGCGAATAAGGTGNATACGCAAGACGTGTCCTAACCAACGGAGCCTATTGAGCTGGATTCGACGCGATAGCGAGTTTGTGTTCGAGGCATTCCCAAACACACGACGACTTACTTCTAAGTTACTAACCCGCTCACTTCATCCCACTTGGGCTAGACTACGTAAGCATCGATTGTCGAACACTGCTAAATGACGAATGTCTTCTACCTGCAAGTTCAAGGTCTTACAACCGTACAGCAGAATTCGACGATGCACCACAGGA